GAAGGGCTTTAAAGTAATAACCAACATCTTGAATTGCACCCGGCAACACACTGGCAATCAACTTACTTCTAGTAATAGAAGTGCTGATATTGATAAAATGTCTCTATCTCAATTCTTTCTCTGATGTTTTCTCTGAACAAAAAAACAAAACAAAATTGTATAGCAACAGCAGTTTGAACAAAACCTCTTAAAGGCCTTGTATGTGAATTCTAATAACATTCCTGCTAAAGATTCTATTTCTCCATAAACTTTAATGATACTGCCAACTGAATTTCAAATTAAGTGATATAATGCTCTCCAAATATTACAATTACAGTTCCCTTATTCTCTGACACTTTATAGCCAAATAGAAGTTGCTTATTAATTCTATTATCATATTTATACAAAACTATTAGTAACCCTTAAATAATTGAGTTACTGTTGTAGAGATGGAATGATGGGAAAACTCATTCAAAAATCAGGCCATGTCACAAAAGTAATTTATTTAATGACCTTACAATAAAACCCAACTCAATCAATTAAAAGCTTATCCTAGTCCTGCAATTTATTTCTCACAGTAACCAACCAAATGCCTCTTAGATACTCTGATGCTGAAGGTAGAAAGTTTATTCCTCTCCCACCATTGTTTCTCTACAGCAGATATTCATAAGTATGTCGCCCACAATCCAGACAGTAAGCTTTCAAATAACAGCTCTCAATAAATTCAATTTCTAAGAATATATAAAGTCACTGAAATTAGTAGTCATCACTATGCATTGTGATAATCAGTTATACAAGTTAATTATATCTTGAATGAAAAGTTATATTTCGGTCAACTAGAAAATCTACTTCAAATGCAGATATATCATTGATTTGTTTAAGGCATAAAACAATTGGTAGTTTCATTTTCAACCTCTTTCCAAATAAACCGTAGCATGGCATTTATCTTTTTCATGAGGGGTCCCCCCCAGTCCACGGACCAGCACAAGTCTGTGGCAGGCCAGCAACTGGGCCATGCAAACAAGCAAAGTCCCAACCGTGGGATGCAGGCAGCACACAAAACCACGTCCCCTCTGGTCCATGGAAAAAAATTTCCCCACAGAATCACTCCCTGGCGTCCAAAAGGCTGGGGGCCGCTGTGTTTCATATTGAACTATTTTCATTGAACTATTTTCCTAACTACTATCATTACATACCAATAATTTAAGGTCAGTTATTAACAAGAGAAAAAAAATCACTTCCCAGCACACACTGCTAATGTACTCCTTTTCTTGATTCTCTTCTTTGAAAAATTTATTCTTGTTTATTTCATAACTAGTTAACAATCCACAAAGGATAGTTTTCTACTAAAGGTACTCAAGAGCTTTCAATAAGGAATATTATGCACTTGAGTCCTCAAAACTTTGACAGGACCAATGGAATAACTGCCATCCATGTATCTAGTGACATTCAAACTGTATGAACATGGTAAGGAAAAATTGCTTTTACAGAACCTTGCTTTTGTGGTTTTTTAATTATAAAATTCAGTATTTTGTAAAAATTTGTCAGCTCCAGTTATATTATAATAATAATAATAATAATAATAATAATAATAATAATAATAATAATAATAATAATAATAATGATGATGATGATGATGATGATGATGATGATGATGATAATGATAAAGTTGGAAGGGACCTTGGAGGTCATCTAGTCCAACCCCCTGCTCAGGCAGGAAACCCTATACCATTTCGGACAAATGGCTGTCCAGTTTCTTCTTAAAAACTTCCAGTGTTGGTGCATTCACCGCTTCTGGAGGCAGGTTGTTCCACTGGTTAATTGTTGTAACTGTCAGGAAGTTTCTCCTTAGTTCTAGGTTGCTTCTCTCCTTGATTAGTTTCCACCTGTTGCTTCTTGTCCTGCCTTCAGGCGCTTTGGAGAATAGCTTGACTCCCTCTTCTTTGTGGCAGCCCCTGAGATACTGGAACACTGCTATCATGTCCCCCCTCGTCCTTCTCTTCGTTAAACTAGACATACCCAATTCCAGCAACCGTTCCTTATATGTTTTAGACTCCAGTCCCCTAATCATCTTTGTTGCTCTTCTCTGTACTCTTTCTAGAGTCTCAACATTTTTTTTACATCATGGTGACCAAAACTGGATGCAGTATTCCAAGCGTGGCCTTACCAAGGCATTGTAAAGTGGTATTAACATTTCACGTGATCTTGATTCTATCCCTGTTAATGCAGCCTAGCACTGTGTTGGCTTTTTTGACAGCTGCAGCACACTGCTGGCTCATATTTAAGTGATTGTCCACTAGGACTCCAAGGTCCCTCTCACAGTTACTACTGTTGAGCAAGGTACCCCCTATACTATACCTGTACATTTGGTTTTTCTTGCCTAAATATAGAACCTTACTTTTTTCACCACTGAATTTCATTTTGTTAGATAGCGCTCAGTGTTCAAGTCTGTCCAGGTCCTCCTATATCTTAAGCCTGTCTTCTGGAGTGTTGGCTATTCTTGCCAGCTTGGTGTCATCCGCAAACTTGATGAGTTCCCCATCTATCCCCTCGTCCAAATCATTGATGAAGATGTTGAAGAGCACTGGGCCCAGAACAGAGTCCTGGGGCAGCCCACTACACACTTCCCTCCATGTAGATGCAGTTCCATTGAGGACCACACGCTGAGTACGGCCGGTCAGCCAGCTACGAATCCATCTGGTGGTGATGCTGTCTAACCCACATTTTTCTATCTTATCAAGTAGTAGTTTGTGATCTACTTTATCAAATGCCTTACTGAAGTCCAATAAATTATATCCACAGCATTCCTCTGATCCACTAATTTTGTCACTTGGTCAAAGAATGCAATAAGGTTTGTCTGGCATGATCTGTTTTTGACAAACCCATGTTGGCTTTTAGTAGTGATTTTGTTTGCCTCTAGGTGTTCGCTGATTCGTTGTTTGGTTATCTTTTCCAGAATCTTCCCAGGTATTGAGGTCAGGCTGATAGGTCTGTAATTTCCTGGATCCATTTTTTTTCCTTTTTTGAAGATGGGAACTACATCAGTTCCAGTCCTCTGGTAGTTCCCCTGTGCTCCAGGATCTTTGAAAAATATAGTTCAGTGGTTCTGAGATCACATCTGCCAGTTCCTTGAGAACCTTGGGGTGTAATCCATCTGGTCCTGATGATTTGAACTCGTCTAGGCTGGACAGGTGCTCACTTACCATTTTCTTGCCTATCTTAACTTGTGTTTCTTCTATTCTGTTTTTTATGACACTATTTTTGATAGGTTGGTCTGTTTTTTCCCTTTGTGTAAAGACAGATGCAAAAAACAAGTTAAATAGTTCTGCTTTCTCCCTATTGCTTGTCACCTTCTTGCCACTTTCACCCACTAATGAACCAATCGTTTCCTTCACTTTTTTCTTGTTTTTTACATGTTGAAAGAAGCTTTTTTTGTTATTTTTGACTTTGGTCGCAAGCCTTAG